TAAGTCAGTAATTAGAGCGGAATTGGTTTGTTTCCAATAAGTTGTTAATCGGGTTGGTTTATTAATTAGACCTAAAGGATGGTTAATTAATTATCGGTTTAGTAGAATTTTGGTTTAACCAAATTAAACAAAAAAGCCCTAGTTCCTTCTTCTTATAAGTTGAAGCCATCTTCTTCTTTTCTCATATGTCGTGACCTGAAAACCAAAAGAGAAAGAGAGTTGTTTTTAACTTGAAAAAGAAAAAAATTTTAAAGCTTTGGTGAAGGGAGGAAGAGGCAGAATCGTCGAGGTTTGGTAGAGATCAGTTTCGACCTATTAAATAATGGGCAAATGTATCAAAATTTTCAGAGATTGTAAATAAGACCTACAGTTACATGTGACTTTTTGCAAATTTTAATTTGAGTTAGAATTCTAAGAGCATCCACATTGGCCATACCTTTGTAGATGCCTAAAAAATATAAGTAAGATTAAATTTAAAGACATCTTCTATTTTGGGGGTCCAAAATGTCTTTCCAAAGACACTATTACACTTTTAAAGACACTCCATCTCTTTTTTCTATTATTTTTAATTTAATAACATCCTCAAAATATCACCAATGAGGATGGTCTAAGAGTTGTATACCTTTTTGTTAGCTGTTATGTTTCAGTTGCGATTTAGACCAGCGTGTGTTTAAAGGAGGATCACGATTTAACTTTCTGTTGGAACGTTACGAATTTTGGTGGTTAACTTTAGGACATCAAAAGGAAGGTTTTCACGGTGGGTTTGGATTTTGAACGGTCAGATCTCTTTCCGTGATCTCATCTATTAGACCGCCCCTACTAGTGGGTCCCACGTCCTCTCTTGGGCCCATGGGCCCACCACTGTCCGATCCTACAAATCACCACATGATTTTTCCTCATGGTTTGTCCTAACTTGCATGGTTCCGACAATCACTTCCCAGAAGGTCATCCATCCTTAAACTACTTAAGCCAAAGCACACTTAACTGAGGAGTTCTCTCAAGATGTTTGACAGAAAAGATAAGAGCACTTTGGTGACATAGGTGGTCAAATAAATTCTTTTAAACCTCTCTGCATTCACCACCATATTCTTGAAACCGGGGTGTTACAATTCACCCCCACTAACAGATCGCAACGTCCTCGTTGTGCACCAAGATTGTCACCCCCTACGGTTTGAGCCTTCTTGACTGCACATTTGTATGGTTTTGGCTCTAATACCACTGTAACGCCCCAACCGCCTCTACCAATGGGCCCCACATCTTCTATCGGGCCCATGGGCCAAATCAATTCTTTTAAACCTATCCGCATGTACCATCATATTCCTGAAACCGGGGTGTTAGATTCTTGATAGTTATGAAACTTATATTTTATTCTTGAATTCCTGAAAAATTATTTTGTTGAAAATTTCTAATGTTATGGTAATCATATGAAATATTGAAATGATACATTGTAGGAAAAGTAATTAAATACAAAAAGGGTATTGAAAAAATGTTAAGAGATTTTTTTAGTATAAAACTATAACTAGATTGAGTGAATATGAAAATAGTTTTTTTTTAATTTGAGAGGAATGACACATGTTGAATGAATAAAGCAGCACTTGTCAGTTTTTTTGAGCATAAGTTTCACGTAACCTTACATTATTATATACCGTAATCGATGATATGGTTCAAATTGCCTTAAACCTACTCTCTCAAATAAGAGATCGGTTGCAATATTTAAGGGTTGAATTTCGTCAAAGTTCTTTTGTTCACACAATAAATTGAATGTCAAGATTAAAATAGAAGATAAATAGTAAAATAAAAGGTAAATAAAGTAATAAGAAAGTAGATTGATTGGTTGTGAAATGATAAAATAAAAAGTTAGGCTTAGGGTATTCTTAGGAAACTATTGGTTAGTAGATCTAATGATAGCTAGATTGTTATCGAACCATTCTTAAATTCAAACTCTAATTTTCGAGTAACCGGTGGTGTTCCGCAAAACTCCCTATGTCTATAGCTAAGAATAACCAGAGAAGCCGAGAGATCTTATACCTAGACATGCATTCTAAACGAGTTCAATTGTTCACCTTAGTAGATAGGCCGATTCTTATTACACACCTATAAACCAGGCTCATCAAATAATAGATCCAACTATAGATACCTATGGCGGATATATCTATTGTCTTGATTCAAATTCTAGTTTAGCATTAAGAACAATTAAAGATTCAGAATTCTACTGATAACCTAGAAGGGGGGGATCTACTAAACCATATGAATCCCTAATGAGAAACTCTAACCCTAACAAGCAAATTACGCAGACATGGAGATTGAAACAAGCAACATATTTGAGTAAGAAAGCATAAACACAGCAAATAAGAATAGAGTATGAAAGGATCTCTTCACTGTATTGAAATTTGAATGAATCTCTAAAGAACAAGGGATGAATAGCTTATGTCTCTCAAAGAAAACTAGATGAAAAGCTTGATAAAACTTGATAGAAAGAACTTAGGTCTAAACAATGACCTTAAAACCTATATATATGACCTAATAAACGTTCAGGGACTAATAATGCAAATAGAGAAGTCTTCTAGAGCAAATTTCTACTTCTGTAAACTTGAAAGCGTTATGGACTTCTTTGGACGGAAACCGGTGTCGATCGACCCCAAGAGTGTGTCGATCGACAGTCTCACTGAATCTGAAACTGAAATCGTCCTTACCTTCTTTTTCCTTAGGTTTTGCTTCAAAATGTCTCCTCATCTCCATTGTTGTCCTACTTCATAGAATACCTGGAAAGACTCTAAAAACACTCAAAAATAACAAAAAGACTCAAAATCCTATATCAAAAATATAGTTTAAAACAGTAAAAATAGGGTTATATCAACTCTTTCAGACTTAGCTTTTGCTTGCCCTCAAGCAAAACACAAAAACTGAACCCATGGAAGAGGTTTTGAAAACAAAGGAGCTCCGAACATTCTCTAGCCTATTGCCACGATCATCCAAACTAAATCTATATGCCTTGCAAGTCTAATCAATCCTAACCACTATCTACTTCTCTGCAAGCTTACAACGTTCTAGATTCCTTACCTAAGTTCCACAACTATATCCACCAGGCTTTCATCGCTGGGTCTCATCAAACAAGCTAACATTCAAGATCCTTCTAGACTCATTCCTGTACTATACCATGATAAATCAACCATTCACTTTATATATTTTTTTTCTTTTGGTGTTTTTTCTCTCCCAGACTTATTCTTTTTGGAGAGTAAACAAAGGGGAACTCGCATACTGGATCGACACCCTTGGCATTTTTCCAACCTTTGTAATTGATCATTCCAAATAATGTATAATAATTGGGTCATAGGAAATATTCCTACCCCTATACACTATCTGAAAATCTTGTCAATCTCTCATTTTCGTTTTTTTTTTAATAAGGGGAGAGGAACACTTTTTCTTTATCACATGGGTCTCAATATTAGGTATGAACAAGGAGTCAAGATCTATGAATACTAACCATTTGATGAGGTAAAAGAAAAAGCAGTGAGATTAGCTCCAGCCTTAGTGGGTTGTGTTGGAAACTAGGATATCCTCAAATCTGTTGGTTTGCCATCTAGATTTTCTAATAGTCGGATTGAGTCGAACCTGCAGCATTCATCTATCAGGCAATAATCTAGAGAAATATAGATCATAATTTCTAACTAAACTAAACAAAACTTTTCTTTTTTTTGAAAGTTTAAAGAAAAGAAAAGAGACAATAAGCTGAAAAACAAAAAATAATAAGAATCAAAAATAAAAGCATAATTAGTAAGCGCCTTCTCCATACTTAAATGACACTGTCCCCAGTGGCATTTAAATCCAAAGAGAGTGGGAAAAATAAACCAAAAATAAAAGAAAAGTAAAAGAGAAGAAACATCAAACCAGAGGGTTGCCTCTCATTAAGCGCTTGTTTTGAGTCAATAGCTTGACTTGGCGGAGTTCAAGATGTGGGTGGAGTGTGGAGGACTTGTGCTGCAACCTCGCCATCCAAGGCAGTGTGTAAACGGATCCGGGCTGTGAAGCAGCAGGTGTCGATCGACACAAATAGTCGTCTCGATCAAAACTCTCTTTGTTAACTGCAAGAACAACTAAAGAAACAAGGTTTCGAGAATCTCGAGGCTTGTTAACCGGTGAAGCAGACTTCGAAGAATCTAAAGATTTAATCGAAGGTAAAACAGGAGAAGGGATAGAGGAGAACTTATCACAAAGGTCTGAAATAGGTGTGGGTTGTAGAGAGTGTGCGGATCCTTTGTCTGTGAATCCCGAGGGTGTCGATCGACAGGAGGGGTGGTGTCGATCGACACTGATACTCTACAACTCTCATTGGCAGACTGAGCAGAAGGGAGCGTTGTTGTTGGCTCTAGTGGTGAGGTCTGAGCAGTCTGAGGAGATGTAGCCTTGTTGGTTGCAATACTACTGATAGGCACTGTAAACTTTGAACCATCAATGCCAAACTCCATCTCCAAATCATAAATGTTAAGAGAGATCCTACCTCTCTTCACATCAATCCTAGCACCAGATGTAGCTAGGAATGCTCTTCCAAGGATAAGAGGATCCTTGGATTCCTTATCATAATCCAGAACCACAAAATCAGAAGGGATTAAGCAATTACCAACCTTAACAGGAACATCCTCAAGGATTCGTTTGGAGAGATCCACGAAGAGGAGAGTGATCATTGTTGGCCTATAGTTAGTCATGCTCAATCTCTCTGCAATAGACTTAGGCATGAGGTTGATACTGGATCCCAGATCAGACAAGGAGTGGCTGAACCTGCTTGTAAAGATAGAACAATCAAGAACGAAACTACCTGGATCGAGGAGCTTGTCAGTGGTTTGATCTGTAATGATAGTACGGATGTACTTAGCAATGTCCACTCTCTTTGGCTTCTCTTTGCTGACCTTAGGCAACATTATGGCTATCTAGAGCCATCTAGAGCCATCTGGTATCTCCAATCAACTCCTCTGAAAAAGGTATCCAAAAGTTGTACCTTACTGAAACCGTGATGCGGGCAATCTCGTTGATACTCCTTGAATCTAACCCATTCTGCTTTGAAAGCTTCAGCTGGATCTTGGGTGAAGGTAGGCAGCTTGTTTCTCAGCTCCTCAGACTTAGCATCATCATAGAAATTGTTCAAGAATGCTATCTTGATGCTTCTCCAAGTCTTGAGTTAACCTGCTTTCAGTTGTTTCACCCAAGAAGCAGCTTCCCCAACAAGTTAATAAGGAAAGAGCTTGCATAGTAGGCAGTCCTCTGCGACTCCATTAGCTTTGATGCTCAGAACTAGGTTCCCAAAACGCTCGATATGGTCCATTGGCTGCTCATGAGATAAGCCATAGAAAGGGTGCTGGCCAACAAAGGCAAAGTATCCAGGCTTCAGCTCATAGTCGTTCCTCTAGAAAGGTGGGGGTACGATCACTGACCGATTAGCATATAACAAGTCTAGCCTGTTGAAATTCCCAAGAGTACAACGTGGTTCTGTCGCTTGACACCAATTGCTTCTCCATTCCGCTCCCAAAGGTGTCGATCGACACCGAGCCCTGTTGTGGCTCTGGCAGCTAATTGCGCATTGAGGCGCGCCTGATCCTCATTGACGTCCCCTGGGTGGATGAGTCCATGATCATCCAATCTCTAACCAGCCACATTGTAGGCTTACCCATCTTCATCTCTCAAAACTCCTTCCTCATCAGCTCTGATGTCTCTGTCAGCCATTGCTAATTTCTGAGTTTTACGGTTGGTGCGTTCAACGTTTCCCAAGTCAAGAACAGACAAGTTGATCAGCTCCTTCTGTTACGTGCTTCTTGTTTGCCTTGGCATACACTAGAAACACAGAAAAGAAGAAAACAAGAAACGAGTGACTAAAAAAGAAAAATAAAAACTAGACGAAATTTCTAAACAAAACTCAATTGTGATTCCCAAGAACTTTGGCAACGACGCCAAATTTGATATGGTTCAAATTGCCTTAAACCTACTCTCTCAAATAAGAGATCAGTTGTAGTATTTAAGGGTCAAATTTCCCCAAAGTTCTTTTGTGCGAATTTCCTGAAAGTTCTTTTGTTCACACAATGAATTGAATGTCAAGATTAAGTTAGAAGAGAAATAATGAAATAAAAAAGTAAACAAAGTAAAAGGACAGTAGAATGATTGGTTGTGAAACGATAAAATAAAGAGTTAGGCTTAGGGTATTCTCAGGAAACTATAGCTTAGTAGATCTAATGATAGCTAGGTTGTTATCGAACCATTCTTAAAAGCAAACTCTAATTTTGGAATAACCGATGGCGTTCCACGAAACTCCCTATGTCTATAACTAAGAATAACCAGAGAAGCCGAGAGATCTTATACCTAGACATGCATTCTAAACGAGTTCAATTGTTCACCTTAGTAGATAGGCCGATTCTTATTACACACCTATAAGCAAGACTCATCAAATAATAGATCCAACTATAGATACCTATGCCGGGTATATCTATTGTCTGGATTCAAATTCTAGTTAGTTACTCTAAAACTAGCATTAAGAAAAATTAAAGATGAAGAATTCTACAGATAACCTAGCAGGGGGCGATCTACTAAACCATATGAATCTTTGATGAGAAACTCTAACCGTAACAGGCAAACTACTCAGACATGGAGAATGAAACAAGCAACATATTTGAGTAAGAAAGCATACACACAACAAATAAGAATCGAGTACGAAAGAATCTCTTCACTTTATTGAAATCTGAATGAATCTCTAAAGAACAAGGGATGAATAGCTTATGTCTCTAAAAAAAACTAGATGAAAAGCTTGATAAAACTTGATAGAAAAGAATTTAGGTCTAAACAATGACCTTTAAAACTATATATATGACCTAATAAACGTTCAGGGACTAATAATGCAAATAGGAAAGTCTTATGGGGAAAATTTTCACTTGTCTAAACTTGAAAGCGTCATGAACTTCTTTGGGCCCGAAACCGGTGTCGATCGACCCCAAAAGTGTGTCGATCGACCCCAAAAGTGTGTCGATCGACCCCAAAAGTGTGTCGATTGACACTCTCATTGAATATGAAACTGAAACCGTCCTTAGCTTCTTTTTCCTTACCTTTTGCTCCAAAATATCTGCTCATCTCCATTGTTGTCCCACTTCATAGAATACCTGAAAAGACTCTAAAATGACTCGAGAAATAACAAAAAGACTCAAAATCCTATATCTAAAACATAGTGAAAGACAGAAAATAGGGTTATATCAATCGACAAAAACCCGATGGTATTCTGGATTTTGTTCACTTACCTACAAAAATCACGCCGAAATGCCAAAGTTTTTTTGCTTGACTTCTCTGCATATATATCAACTAACAATCTTATTATCATATAGCTTTAAATATAGAGGTTTCCGCGAATTAATACTTTAAAAATCCTAAAATCATACTCTTAACAGATTGATAAAGGTAACAAAACATTATCACAAATAATAACAAAAGATCACAACAAATAGCAACAAATTAATAAAAGTGTCAAAATGTTTTAAAGATTTGAAAAGATGCTTTCATGCCCATGTCCTTCAATCCTCTTTATGATTTGAAAAATGTATTTTGAAATATTTATTAGACCATCTCTATTTGGGAGTTTCTCATGAGAGTTTCTCACTATTAAAAAATTAAAAATAATGAAATGAAAGAGAGAGAGAGTGTAGAAAGTTTCTCACTTGAGAAGCTCTTATATACTCTCTACAATCCATCATGACATAGCTCTTTTTACCATTGGTTCAATTTTTTTTAACTTTTTTCTTTGCCAAACGTCAATTTCCATTCACTTAATCCTCAAAAGAGGGAAGTTCACACAACTTGAATCTAAGATAGTACAAGGAAATAAAGATAGTGGCTTTATGAGTTTTGCAAAGGGATGTTCACTTTTAAAAAAGTTTACAAGGTGTGGTCATAGACGACTATTGAATACGGGCTTCGCGAAATCCTCAAAACATGAAGAAGAAGTATAAGGTGAAAGTTAAGAAGATATAACATACCTTGTTTCTCATCTAAAAGTAAGAAGGTGTTTTAGCCCTTTTTCATCAACTCATATCTAAAGAAAATCCACATTTCACATGTTCACTTCTATATGTGCTCCAAAATTTCAACTCAACATATTTGTTTCAAAACCGATAAAAGTTATTTAAAATAAAAAAAAAAAATATATATATATATATATATATATATATATATATGAGAGGTAGAATATAATATTTGATTAAGACTTTGTCTTACTATTTATAGAGAAATTAATTTGTCATGGATTTTAATTGTGGTTTTGTTTTTAATAAATTTGGTCAAACATCGTGGAAGTTACATTTGAAAGAATTAATATGCAATAAATGATGATGATTATTATGTTTTTTAAATACATTTGTTTGTGTTTTTATATTTTTATTTTCGATAAATGCAAAGAAATATGTTTTCCACAAAAACATAAACACAATTGCAGTTAATACAATATAATGTAATAAAATATTGATTTATTTTTCTTGGTAATGTAAAAACATATGTTTTCTACTAAAACATAAACGAGATGACAGTTAATACATTATATTGTATTTATATGTAAAGTTATTTTTTGTCAAACATTATAGGAGTTACATTTTATAGAATGAATATGTAATAAATTATGATTATGATTATTATTAAAGTGAAATAAAATATTATATTGTCAATAATATTATTATATTGTGTGAATATGAAAATAGTTTATTTAAATTTAAGAGAAATGACAAATGTCGAATGAACAGAGCACCACTTGTGAGTTTTTTAGATCATAAGTTTTGAGGTGGATTGCGCCTACTAAAGGCAAAAATGAAGCTAAATTACACTCGAGACAGCAACCCTAGAAAACAATCATGAGAAAATAGGACATTCAATTGATGAGTTGTATATCTACACTCTATGCTCTAGTGGAGCCTTCAGAAAGAAAGATGTTCAATGAAGTTTTAACAATCATATGATTTTCGAAATCTCCAAAGAGATCAGGCCAGTGTCATTTCAAATCTTCAATAGATAGACCTTCAACCTTACATCTATGAAAGCTACAAAATCTCACTATACCCTCCACGAAATCCAAAGATTCTAGAGGAGTTAACCCCTATAAAGCAAAAGAAAAAATGTGGTAAATTATTGCTGGATTTGGCTACAAAAGGGCTGACTTTTCTTAATTATCTTTTTCTCAAGATAAGTAACCAAAATAGCTCCATTGAGTTGTACATGTAGACCTATCTCTATTATGGTTATTATTAAAAAGAAATAAAATATTATATTGTCAATAATATTATTAGATTGAATGAATATGAAAATAGTATATTTAAGTTTAAGGAAAATGACACATGTTGAATGAATAGAGCACCATTTGTCTGTTTTTTAGATCATAAGTTTTGAGGAACCTTACTTTATTATATAAAATATACGCTATATCTGTAAGATAGCAAAATGTTAACGTAGATCAATGGTTTAATGTCCTTTATTAGTCCAAAAGGTCTGCATTTTGATTCCCTTGAAATGCTGTTTTTCCTCCTCATTTTCTAGTGTTCAAAACGACATCGTTTTGATATAAAAGAAATTCTAACGAAAAGTTAACTCTCTGATTGTTTGGTTGATGGAAACTTAACGACATGTCCTAAATGGTCAAGTTAAACTAAACTTTAAGATTTAAATAGTTTTGAAAGTTCATTTTGTCGTCCTAAATTTAAAAATTTGCGCTTTTTGATATTTTCCCGTTGTAAAGTTTCCATTTATTTATTTAGGAGGGTGTTATACGTGAGACCTTGGCTTAAATATAGTTTTGTTTTTGATTAATAAAAGAGAAATTTATTTTTGAACCGCAAAGTTTTTGTTTTCTTAAAAGTACGAATTTTAATTAGGAAAAAATTTTTGTTTGGACACACATAAAAAAAAAAAACAGTTTTGGTTCGGTTGTGGGTTTGTTTTCAGATTTTATAATAGTGAAACCACACAATTAAGAAATTCATTTTACTTCTGTTTTGGTTTAATTTGGTTGGTTGCAGTTGTTTTGCACACCCTTTGGTTCTTTACAAAATTAGGTAAACTATACAATCAAGTCAGAATACTAGACCACGAGAGATCACC